TCCACCAAAGAGATCGATTATGCTGGCCCTGGAGGTTTTCGAACGTGTGATCTGTGCCACAGCTGCAAAAAAAAGGAGCATGTTCTGTATAACTGTGAGCGCTGCCCCCCTGGCCCCCTTGGCCCTAGGGGGCTACAAGCCGGTCTGAGGGGAGATTTGGCCAAAATTTTCGGCTCCACAAACAAGACATTTAGGACACGCCGTTCTTTTTTCTAAAAAAAAGAACGCTTCCTTGCCGTGCGGATGTCATCATTCTTCTTCTGCGCAAAAATGTTGCCTAACTTGAACCGGCGTGATTCGATGCAATCTGTTTGGGGTCTTCGCTGGTGTAATTTTTGCTTGGTAGGGCTCTAGGACTCTAGGACTGGGACGTCGAAGGTGGGGTGCCTACTTGGGCATCCGAGAGAACATCAACGAGGAGAAGCAGGAACTCTTGGAGGCGGCCATGAAGGACCGGAAGAACTTGCTGATCCCGAGCACATGCCTCCGGCGCTCCCAATGCGTTGACGTGACCGAGAGCCTAAGAGGAGCTGGATACGACATCCACATCATCGGAGTTTTTGGGGACAAGGACACCATCGTCGAACGTGGCCGGAAAAGGGCCGCCGATCAAGGCAAACGCTACGATCCAAGAGAGTTTGAGCTAACACTGATGATGTTTGCTCCCATGCTTCGGCTGTGCACTGGGATGTGGCGGATGGTATGCACGACCGGGCAGAAGGATTGGAATGATTTGCAGGTTTCTTGTGGCGGTGAGGGTCCTCTTCTGGAGGATGGCATTGAACAAGTTTGCACCGATGTTTTCGAAATATACCGGGAGGATGCATCGCAAGGTGCATGATCATGATTTCCTTACGGCATACGGTTCGATACCAGGCCTTGTGCTCGTGACTTGTGTGCAGCTCTCCCGTCGCTTCGCGAACAAACCCCGTTTCACCGAGCAGTTAAATGCGAGAGCAGCAGGCAGAGCACAAGCCAGGGAGCAAACGCTCAGTCTCGCAAAGGGAGGGGTTCCTTTTGGCGGTTCTTAGATCATGGACTATTCAGGGACGGACCCGTATTTCCTGCAACGCCCATATTATCTCAGCTACGGCGGTGCCTCTGATTCTTTCCGATGAATTCCCCGCATGGCCTCTGGGCTGCTTTTTTCAAGCCAAGCCTCAGAATATCGGCTTGCCTAGGTGCACAGAAGTTGCCACGCCGAGAGACGAGAGATCGGACAGCTTTCAAACGAAGCTGCAAAAGTGCGACCTCCCCTTGTATGCAGCCTGTCTAGCACAGTGGACGCTACTCAACATGCCTTGTTTGCAACTTCGCAAAAGGACCTTAGGACCTAAGTTGCAGGGTCACCGCGTGTACACTCCGCACTCGAAGTTTGCAACTTCCTGGCCGCTTCCAAATCTCTCCGAACCCCAAAACTGTAGGAGCAAAAAGCCGAAAAGCCCAAGCCCAAGTTACACGAGTGCTACTCGTCCTATGCCACTCATGTAGCATGGGCTCCTGTGCAGAGGCTCACAGCAAGGTCATATGGGAAGCGGAGGGGAGGTGCCGAAGGTGTCAGCTTGCCAACCACAGCAGGACTTTGATCCGAACTCGAGTCCCAAACCTAGCCCGCAGGCTTACGACTAGAATCATATATGGAAGATGACGGAAGCCTAGGAGTTCACCAGCCCTCATGGAGCAGCTCCCTGACGCCGATGAGCTCTTTGGTACAGAAGCAGAGGACTCCGACGATGACGTCTTGGTGGAGGAGGACGCAGGACGCCATAGCGAGGCTGCCTTAGTACTGGATGCCCTGGGTGTTCAAGTCCGCGATGCCAGGGACGTTGAGAGTCGTGTGGTCGACAGCTGTGATGCCAAGCTTCAGTTGCCATCGAAGATGGCCGAACTGACAAAAGTCGACCGGCAAATCGAGGGGCTCTTGAAAAGAACGAATGAACAGGAAGACCCCAATATCCCTGCGCTGAAGAAGGCGCTGGAGAACAGAGAGGTGCTGCACAGTGAGGTTCTGGAGTTGGAGGATCGCGTGGCCAGCGCAACGGTTTCCGAACCCAATCAGAAGAGCCACAAACCCTGGCAGAGGCTCAAGTCCTCCGGGTCCAGTCTCGACCTGGAGGAGCAGTCCAAGCTGGAGCAGGCCCGTTTGGGGAGCTGCAAGGTAACCTAAGGTATCGTTTGGCATCGTTTAGTATAGCGATTCTGTCCCCTCCGAGGCCATTGCGGCGGCCTATGCAGCCGTGGAGCGCGTGGGCAGGTCGTCTTCAGGACTTGGAAGGGCTCCGTCCGGCGAGGTGACGCAGCGGGCGGTTGAAAGCAAGCGGAAGTCGGAGAGCCAGAGCCAACCGGGTCAGCTTGCCAGGGCCTCGTTGCCCAGGAAAGGTCAGATCAAGCTTCCTTTGGCTGAGCAGGCGCTGCAGAGAAAGGTTGTGGACAAGTCATTCTGGGATGCAGACCCTGTTAAAGAGGAGAAGCGCATGGAAGTAGAGCCAGCGTCGTCATCTCTTCCACTGAGTGCTATCGATGTTAACCGATTGAAGCCGCGAGCGGCGCAAGTACACAGTGTCTGGAAAGAGAACAACCCTGCAGAGTGGAGAGCTATGCAGCTGCAAGGCGAACTAGTGCCTCCTCAGCAGAACCTCTTGCGCAAGCGTCCTGGTGCAAAGCGACACCAGGAAACTGCGCCTGCTGAAGCAAAGAAGGCTCGCCGGGATGACGTGAACGAAAGTGTGTATCAACGAAGGCAGGAGCTCTGGAATCCCGGCAAATCTGCGGCAGCGTGTCTGGTGCCAAAGCAGCAGTTGGACGAGGACGGGGAGCCCGTTTGCAAGCCCGATCCCGATCGCAAGAAGCCCAGGGTAAGGGTGATGCAGGAAGAAATCCAGGTTTGCGAAGGGCTTCGCTGCCCAAAGTGGCTTTGGCAAGCGCTCTATCCATATCAACACCGTTGTGTGCATTGGCTCTGGGGTCTCCATCGCGACAAAATGGGGGGGATCTTGGCTGATGAGATGGGGCTGGGGAAGACTGTCCAGATCATTGCATATTTGGCGGTGTTGCACCACTCCGGCGTGCTACAGAACATGAGGGTACAAAACACATCCCTGGGAGCCGCTAGTCCACCAAGGACCGGTGGCGTCCTGATTGTGTGTCCCGCGACGCTCATTAGCCAGTGGCGGAATGAGATTCATCTCTGGTATCCGCCGCTCCGTGTTTGCCTTATGCATCAACTGAATGAGGAAGACCGCAAGGAGTCTATCCAGCAAGCTTCCTCGCATCAAGGAGTTCTGATCACATCCTATGAGACGATGCGAATCGCTATTGATGCGTTGCTCGAAGCGACATGGGTTTTGGTCATACTTGATGAGGGCCAGAAAATCAGGAACCCGCACGCGAGCATCACCATTGCATGCAAAAGGTTCAGTACAGCCCACCGGATCTTGCTTTCGGGCTCTCCGATCCAGAACAATCTGCAGGAGTTGTGGTCGCTCTTTGATTTCGTCTGCCCTGGCCGCTTGGGAACCCTTCCCGTGTTTACTGAAGAGTTTGCGCAGCCGATAGAAAGCGGTAATTTGATGGGGGCCACAGAGGTGAAGATCGCAGCGGCCTATCAGTGTGCCTTGGCCTTGCGGGAGCTCACGGAGCCCTGCATCCTTCGACGAACCAAGGCCGAGTGCATGGACGTACTGAACCTGCCCACGAAGCAAGAACAAGTGCTGTTCTGCCACCTCACAGCAGAACAGTATCACCTCTACGTCCAGTTCCTCGAGACCGAGCAGGCCCCCGAAAGACCCAAGCCTCCAACATTGTTTGAACCCTAAACCCTAAACCCTACACCCTAAACCCTGGTGGGTTGCAACACGTGTAGAATTCGGGCTGCTTGGTTCTTGCTGTCTCCCGCTAGGTGGGTAGACAACCTCGGGTCTGCATCCTTGTCCCTGCCCTTGGCTTCCAAAACTCGACTCTACCAGGAGCTGTGAGCTCGGAGTTGCTACTACTGCTGCTGCTGCTGCTACTACTACTACTACGACGACGACTACTATTCATAATAATAAGAACAAGAATAAGTATATTCATATCAGTAACAATTTTCACCCCAGTTTCTTTTCTTCCC